TTATTTTGTGATATTTCTGTTGAACTGAATTGTATGGTTAGAGTACGTAGAACATGATATTTAATAAATAAAGGTAACACACAAAACGTTAAGAAACGCCCCTTTGGACGTAACTTAAAATCTGAAACCTTTCAGAATTTTTTTTCTTAATATATATATATATATATAATATATCTATAATGCATTTTTATAGATAATATCTATAATGGTAAATACAAATATATATATATATAAATTTAATTTTTAACAAACACGTATAAAAAGAAAAAAAGCAAATTTAAATCATTTAAAAAAAAAAAAAAAAGTGAAAATAATTTTTTAAAAAAATTTTAAAAAAATGTGCAAACATATAAAAGATTTAATTCTCGAACTAATCTACAATATTATTTAAATTCAGAAGCATAAGCAAATTAAGTGCAAAAATATAAATACAAATATATATATATATATATATATATATATTTGTATTTGCCACTATATATATTATATATATATATATATATATTATATATATATATATATATACATATATATATATATTATATTAACATATATATATATACATTATATTATATATATATATATATATTTGTATTTGCCATTATAGATAACTTACTGCTCCTTAAAAGTTTGCTAATGTCTCAATAGAATTTTTATACGAACACCCATATTAACTGCATTTTGTTTATTCTTATATGAATCCGATGTTACCTTATTACTTTTACAGATACTAAAATTAATGTTTTTTTAACTAAAATCATTTATGAAACAAAAGGGTAAAATTCACGATAAGGTACATGCAGCTAAAAATTATACCATAGGTGAAATTTAGAATAAAATATTTGGCCTTTCCTTTAAAAATAAATTCGGAAATAAAGTGAAAGCGACTCAAAAATTTATGCATAAAACCACAAACATACAAAACTGTGACAAGATGGCTTAAACCCCATGTGGTTTGTTTACAAAATATTCTGAACTCGTTCTCCTCTGGTAACATTCTTTGAGATTTGGAGCATCGGGGTGAATATGCTATCGCATAATAAACAGTTTAAAAATATGGAAATACAGAAAATTTAGAAAGTTCGATGGGAAGTTATTTCTGATTTTTATGTGAAGCGTGAGTGCTCCAAATCACGCGATTTAGGCTATAAGAGGGGTTCTCAACAGGGTTCGGTATTGGCCCTCTGAAGACCCATGGAATTTCGAAAGGGGTTAATAAAGATCAAGGGGTCGATAATGGAATGTGTGCTAAAATAAATCAGCATATATCCCATTGATTAAATAACAAATAAAAAATATCTGTTGTGTACACCACATGACTTTATTTTACGGAATATTAAATTTGTAGAACTGTATATAAAAACAATATAGCGGGAGATAAATGAAAATACATTGTGACCCTTTATGAAGCGAGGGTTTATTTAAATGACCGCAACATAAAAGGTCTATTGATTATCGAAAACGAAAAGAAAAATGGTTCCGTCAATACAAAGAAAGTTTCAATAAAAGTTTTATGACTTCCGCAGGATTCTCATTAAATGCGAAATTAAAAATGAGAAGAGTAGAAAAATTGAAATCAACTGAGCATACTGCCAAGAGAATGTTGTATGTCGGATATTTACAGAAGAAATTCCATTTCATTATCCAAACGACTTTCAAAGAGCTAAACGTCATTAAGACAAAGCAACAAGTCATACTTCGAAAAGTAGCACTGCATTCCTTGAAATAGTGAAGACTCCTAGAGATATTACTTGTATAATTTTTCAATGTAATTCCTATGAAGTCCAGTGACATTTCACCTATGGAATATTGTGCCTATGGACTATTGAAAAAGCTCTTTCTAAGCGCAAACCTACCACGATTGATGGAGTCTAGAATGTATTGGATAAGAAACAAAAATCAATACTACTGTAAATTTCACGAAAACCCCTTCTATCGTAGAAACTCGATGCAGATGTATACTCCAAAAAAGGTCATCAGGCCGAAGATTAAAAATATACTGTTTGCATTTTAAACATTAATTAAACGCTCCCGTAATTGTTCAAAAAATGTGTCAACACTCTCTGTAGTTTTAATTAAACGAAAAGACGGCTCACTGTGAGGTACAACAGATTACAAAAAATGAGCGCGTGTTTTTCCATTTAAATTAATCCCTATTTTTCTTCAGCTAAAATTTCTAGAAATGAAAAAGAGAAATCAATTGATCTAGCATTTCTCGTGTGCCACTGCTTTATTTACAGAGAATTTAATTTCTTTTCTTCAACGGCTGAGAACACTTATAATTAATTCTTCCAAGAATGCAATTGTCTAAAATCTGGTTGCTTTTGAATTATCAGAAACAAATGCAAATATGTTTTTATAAAAACTAAATAAGTATTTACATTTTCAGATACATATTTCATATTTGCGCAGCTGTTACACATTATTCTACAATTTTTGCTTCTCAGATTAATTGTATATAATTTGATACATTTGTGAAAGAGATTGAGATATTATTTCAATAATTTATTTTCTTTAAAATCTTAGATAATAATTTCTAATTCGATACTTATTTTTGATTTTTCGATTTAAGTTTTAAAACAATTATTGCCGTTGATTTGAAGGTTTTGAGATCTGCAGGGAAAAGAAAAACCCTTTTTCAATTGACTGGAACTGTAACTGCTTTTCAGATAAAGTAAAATTTGAGGACAAATCAGATGAAAGAAATAAATTTCACCCATTTTCAGAATTTGTCGAGCCATATTAATAACCACGAGGCAATTGAAACAGAGAAATACTCGGAAAACCTAAATGCAATGAAAAATAATTTTGAACTCCGCTTCTCCGATTTCCATAAAGTTCAACCAATATTATTATTCATCTCAAAACCATTTGCCGAAATTAATATTGCAGATGTATCACATAAGATTGGAAATATGTTTAACAAAAATGTTAATGTTTTGGAAATGTGCTCGGGTGAGGCCAAAGGTTGGGCACTACTGGTATAGACAATACGAAAATAAGAGTATTCAATGTGCATTATATACTTTATATACACTTTAAAAGTAAGTGCTATATTTTGTCATTATGTAATATATTCATATTACAATGATATAAACAGTATTGGTGAAAAGCAAAAATAAATGCTGTATTTGAGCCGGTATGTTGATTTTAAGTAGTCTGAAATTTAGTTGTTCATTGATAACTCTTTCATGCTAGAAACACATCTGTTTTGAACTTCGAAAAGCACCTGCTACGAACAAACTCTGTGGTACGAGTAACTTTAGTAGGTATTTTTTTTAGTAGGTATTTTTGAATATACCAAAGTACACAAAGGCGACATACCTTCGGGAGAGGATGCCCTCGTGAAGGACTTTCTAGGGTAAACGGACTCGTATTCACGTTAAAAATGTGGGAAAACTACGAAAATTGATCCATCACGTAGGCAGTCTATTTCTCGAGTATCGAATCCGGATCCAACGCTCAGAATTCAGCCATCTTAATCAGTTGGTCACTGTGCGAAAATATTAGAAGTATTGATGAACCTGAACCTGGCTCTAAAAAGCCAATGTCTGTAATCAGTTTAAAATTTATTTTGCTGAATTTTGCTCCCAATTTCTTCATCCATTTACTGTTGTCGTTGTGCTTTATCTCACTTATCTGATAGTAACAATAGCACAATAGCACAAGCCGACGAAATTCATCGTGGCAAAGAGTACAAGATTTCTCCTGTCGTTACCGAGAGCCTAGAGCATCGTATAGGTGACTGTACGACTTTGCTCAGTCCCGCCCTTCCCCCAATTTTGACGAAGCACATTCCGAGGGGACGATGCCGAGGGTCTATCACCCCTCTTTCTCTACTTTAACCGCTCGAGAGGACTTTCGCCTCGACATATATTTAGAGTGTCCCATGCCGCACAGACACTGTACATTTCCAAACACCTATGTCTTCCTCGGGATTCAAACCCGGGCCCCTCGGTACGGCAGTCAGCGTCGCTAAGCACTATCCACTTGTTTACTCATTTAGTTTAATGATTAATGTTCAATATTTTATTGAATTTATTACTTAATGGTTTCTGAACTAAAATTAACAAAATTTACAGGGGGTTTTGCGTTAATTAACCCAATTTTATGATTTGGAAGTGTACTACATTTTCTCCCAACATTAGTTCTCACCACAAACAAAGTGATTTAAGGGTTTTGAATGTTTCAAAGACAGAGCTTATGGCAGGTACATTCTCAGCTTAAAAACATAGTTCAAACAAAGTTCGTCATATAAATTTAGCGATAACTTGCTTGGTGGGCTTGAAGTCTGAAGGTTTGGTTAGGTTATGTGATTATGGCAAAGCCTCGACGGCTATCTGCTGAGGGGAGGAATGCCTTCGTGGTGGAAGTTCTAAGCCGAACTACCTCGTATAGACATACTGGAATCTGAAGGACTATGAGTTATGTTGGAACCTGTAAATTTACGCGTGAGAAGCAAAATTTTTTAAAATATGAATTAAATCATATATTTTAAAATTTTAAATTAGATTTGTGTTATAAATTAAAATAAACAGGAAAATAAAGAAAACAAAGCAAAAAAAAAAAAAAAAAAAAAAAAAAAAAAAAAAAAAAACAGAAAAATTAACAAAAAACAAACTTAAATTGTTAGGAATTAGTACAAATTCGTATTTTAGGCTTTTCAACGAAGACGTTAAGAAAAAATGACAAAAGGAAATCATTTAAAATTGTCACTAACCCATAAACGAGAAAACTGTCCTAGCACAACTGACTCAATACACGCATCAAACCCTGCAGCGTTCGGTAAATCAGAAAAACAAGTTTAATTAAATTTTTTTAACCTCGGTATTCAGTATACCGAAATCAATTTTAATTTCAGTTTCAGCACCAGTAGAGATAACGTATGTGAATCGGAAAATCGAATTTTGCAGTCAGGCGTGTTTTTCGTTGAAAGCAAATGGTAATCGAAACACAGTTTTTTACTTTATCGGATGTAAAAAATCGACAACGCAATCAAAAGTTGTTTAACAAGGTTTAATGTAAAAGGGCAATTTTTTTTCCATGTAGAAAAAAGATTCAAAACTATAGACATGAGGATAAACATGATGGATGAAATTTCATAAACACAAATCATCACATATGAATATCCGGAAAACGGACTTCCACAGTCTGAATGTGCCTCACGAAGTCATCTTTATTCTTCTTTTTCTTCTTTTTTGTACTACCTCCGACTATAAACACCGGAGATGTATTCTGAAAGTTTTTACTACTTAAGTCGCGGTGTTGATTGTGTTGCAAACAATGCGGGTGGTGTTCAAAAGTTGCTGGATGCGTTTGTTGGTGGTTATGCCTTTTCTCTGAGTATCGTCTGAACAGAAAAAAAGCCACCAGACCAATCCCAATGCATACAACCAAACACCCAAAGCCAACGGAGATGTAAAGTGTCACCGTTTGTTGACAGTTTTCGGAGGACTCGTCATATCCGCTATGAGGACAGTGCACTACACCATCGCACCATAGCTCAGGATTGATGCAGGCACTGAGTTCTGGACATTCAAACAAGCAGTTGACATTTTTCATAGTTCTGCCTTCGTCTTCTTTAATTTCGCCATTTATTGGTTTAGAGGTTGGTCTAGTGACCTCCAACCACCGTATGGTTAGAGTGCCTTTTCTGTAAGCCATGAGTTCTACGATTACTTTGTCTGTTATGGATTGGTTTTTCTCGTGATAAGCAACAAAATTTCTAAAGTCATCACGTTGCAGCACTTGAGCAGTAGTAGAATCATTGTTATGCCAAGAAGACGAAAAAAAGTCAAACAAATCATTAGCAGATCTCGACTTTGTAGTTTCTGTAGAAGATGGGAGGCATAGCACCGTTTTGGGATACATAAGACCATCACTTCCGCTGGTATAAAGCACAACTCTATTAAGATTTTCAAGCTCGTGGTGACCATCGCACGATAATCCATGCAGTTGTAGATACAAATATGTATCAGTGGAAGAAGACTGAAGAAACCACTGGCAACGAAGAGGATGATCACCTAGTATATTCCTAACAGGGGACGCTTGAAAAGTCAATTCCCCTCCATGCGTCCTGTTCCTATCTAAATTGTCCGGAAGGACGCTGCATTCACGATCACTTGAGTTTGATCGGATGACCTGGTAACGAACACTGAAAGAGAAGTCTTCAAAATCTTCAAAAGCTGTCATACCGGAAACATCAAAATTCATTGTTACGGTAGAAGAATGCTCCAAAGATGAAGAGGTAAATGCAATTGAGGATATGGGCTGCACTGCGTTTTCACACATACAACCGAAAAGGACAGGTGAGGAAGAAGGAGTTTCAGTAAAAGTTAGAAAAGCATGTCTGTGCGGAATTTGGCGTGAAAGAGTTTCGCTGTTGAAACGACAATAGAACCTACGGAGCAATGGATCAAAAAACGTTGAACAATTATTAATACCTGATTGAAAATGGAGAACTTCAAGAACAATTCTTTCTCTGGGACGCATTTGGAATCGATAAACACATAAAAGCTGATCCCGCCCTCCTCTTCCGTATAAGAACACATTCCTTGGTGATTGAATAATACCGGAGACATCCATCTCTGAACTAAAATTTCTTCCGCAGGGTATTGTTGAAGGTATTTCGAAAGAACTGCCTTTACCAGAAAAACTTGTATCCACAAACTCATACTTGAGAATAAATGATGTAGCAGAGAGGGAGGACACAACATCCGATGCACGCATAGAGAATGTGTATTTTAAAAGAACCTCTGAACTTTCAGATATATAACTCTCTGAAGGTGGCAAGCAAGGTCTTTTTGGAATATAGTCATCATAATCCGATGCCCTCGTGCACATCAAAGGGAGCGATTTTTCACAAAATTTGTATGTGTAATTTAGTTGAGGGGGTTTAGTGTGATGAAACTTATAATAAGACGAATTCTTCTGCACATTCAAAAATAGTTCTAAAGAGCTTATATCACATGCATCCTCATATAAAGGACTTCGCTGGTACTCGGTGCTGGAAGGATGATGGTCATATCCCAGCGTCTCGTGATCTTGAACGAAGTACGAAACAAAATATAGCCATACCCTTTGGGAACTTGTACCTATGAGTCTCGCAATACATGATGTATTTCTTGGCACACTGTGACGAGGACTTCGGATGACTCCGCTGCGTGTTTTGGAACCATCCACAATTATTTCGCAGTTGGAGCTCCTATCAAAGCTGAATTCGCCTTCTGAGCCATCTGCGTCGACGAATTCCACTCGAACCTCCAGTTCCAGTCTTGACTCATAAAGCAGATTTGAAGGTGCGCTGTACAATTGTACGAGCATTTCTGGGCCACTAGAAACAACGTCTGTTAAGGAACCAGATTCACAAAACTCTGTCAGAAGAAGACGATCTTCACTGGTTTCGCTATTGATCCGGTCATAGATTCTGACGACGTCGCCAGCACAGTCAGTAGTCAATCCACTGCTTCCTGCAAAAGAAACGAAACTCATATATCATGAGTTGGCTGAAATATCTTTCATAAATAATTGTAAAACATTAATCACTTGTAATCAGAACTTTGAAAATCATTAATATGTTATGCAGTATTTATAACTTACGTTGTCCCGGGTGGTATGACCGGTTGCTGGAAGCTGATAATTTTGTAGCATGGGGGCATCTAATATCTATCTCTGCTAAACAGTCTAAGATGTTTAACATGTAGAATTATGGTTACCATCTACATAGCTAGAGTACTTCTAAGCTTTAATATTTCTATCCTGTATTTTTTCCCACTTTGAGAGAAAATACTAGCTATACCGGAGGTAGTCTGTTGATATCATTAGTGTTCATGTTGCTTTATGACCAAGATCTCATTCATAGTAAAAATACCGAACTTTGTCGTATTTTCATGCATGGTCCATTAGATCATATTATAATTTATAGCTCGAGTTATTCCATGAACATTTGCTGGGACATTTCTTAAACCTTAAAGCCCAATACACTAGCGATATAGGGTAAAGTTTTATAATGCAAAAATTATTTCATCCCTGAATTCGATATATAATGCGCAAAAACCTAGTTTTTTCTTTTGTTCTGAGGATATAGTAGAATTCTTTCGCTTCAGCATGCATCAGAATAGAGTTCTATGTATGATAGAGCAGATTTTAAATCTACACTTCTAGTTTTATTTACGGAGGATAAAGGCTTTTGATACTATTTAAATTATAAATATACATAAAGAAATATCTTCTGGCAGTGATGATGCATATGTAAATGTCTGTGACTCATATACTGCATTCTACACAGGAAGATGGAAGAATGATCTACATAGCAACAAACCTGATGAAGTGAAAACTTAAATTACGTTTCGAATAAAGGAGAGTAATTGTGCGATTCCTTCAAAAGATACAAGTTTATTTCAGGCTGCAACATATTTTGATACCAATATAAAATATGTCAGAAACTTTCGTTTTGCAGAATGAGAGCCTAATCGAAATTGAAGTAGTTTTTTTGCCGTTTCGAAGATTAAAATCAAAAATAATTCGGGACTGAGTTGAACTATAGAGAACAGTAATCAACTCTTTGAAGACCAAAACAGCCCAGACGGTCTTTCATTCAGACGACCCCAAACGCCCCAAACGGCAGAAATTCCTATGTTGTTTTCTTTCCATCCCTAAGGTATGCAGTAACAGATGCAATTTCTCCAAATGCACTGTATCAGTTAATTGCACACAGTTTGCCCTAAAAGGATTTACTTGTCGTTTCTTATCTTTATTTTTTAGAAGTAGTAAGGATGACATTTGGAATCTTCACACTTTTTTGTGCGCTAATGGATGGGGTGGGGAGGAAATTGCTGTGACTCTTGAAACCCATTTCGGGCGGTTCGATATTTTAACATACAGGTTAGCAAACGCTTTGGTTTTCAAAGAGTTAAAAACGTTTACTTAAAAAAAGCACAATAGCATATCCTTTTGGTCGTATAAATGGTAGCCAAAGCTAAGAAGATATATAGTACTTTAATTTTACATTAGTGTATTACATTGTTAAAAATCTCTCTGTTATCTGTTTTAAAAATGTTCACACGGCTGTTCACATCAGCTGATACCCCACAAGAAGATATCGTTGGAATTAATGTCAGAAGTCAATTGCGATTCCAGTTAATTGTCTTGCAAAGAGCCTGGACATGGACTTGTCCCAGTACATGGACCTAAACGTTATTACGAAGGAAATGCAGAGATCTACTTGATGTGCTCTTTATATCCAGAATAATTCCACAGCAATTCAAATTGGTCACTGCACATTGAATCCTAAGCGTTATTCTTATGGGAATATCTGAAGACGGAAGCCTACAAGCAGAAACAGAAAAGGTTGAACCTTTCGGTCATCTTTACGGAATCAACAGAGGGTTTGCTTTATAAAACGAATAAAAACTTCAGGTTGTTTTCAAAAAGAACCCATGCTCCAAACAGATGAATACTCCGAAAAGTAAGGCACACTGTCTAACTTGCTCATGCCAATCAGTATTTCCAATAAATATTTTGCATATTAAAATTTTAGAAGCCATTCTTAGTGTATGATATATCATATACCACTTAGTAATTATTCATCTAAGTAGTAACTTGAGACATTAGAGTCACCATATTAAGACATTCGGTGGCTAAACTGAGGACGCATTAAAATAATCAACAAGATATCTTTCTCACCTTGGTTAAGGGCTTTCCGGGGGTCCGACAACATAAGAGAAGATCCTGTATTCACCGATATCTTGTACTCATTTGGCTGCGATACTATGATGTGGGCACGCTTGTCAGGTGGAACGTTGTCTTGTCGTATCATGTAGCTGCATGTGAAGTTGCGCAAATATAGTCCGGGGAAGTTGGGAGATCGGATGAAACACTTCTTCTTGTCGCAGTTCTTGAAAGATCGATCGCAGTAGGTATTACCCACCATATTCCCGAGATGCACTTCATGAGTGTCTTTGTCTTCATTGGCGGATATCCTTGTTGGCGACGAGGAGAGAAACCTGCAATAAAATATTATTACGTGAATACAAAGTACACTACATATATGATAAAATGAATAATGGCAAAACAATGTTAGATATATGCATTGAATGGTACGCGATTTAAAACGAACTCTAAAGAAACCAACAGTAACAGGCGTCCATCTTACTTTAATGCAAGCGCTTTCAGCGATTTAACATTATCACCTTTTCCAGTTACAACCAAAGACAAATATCACAATCAGAAAACTGAAGAATTGCTGGGAATATGTTGGTATCTAACAATATCACTTTTATAATGAAGAGGAAAAATATAACGAAAAGAAAGAAAATAAATGATATCATATAGGAAATAAAAAAGCTTATAAATGGAACCATAAATTAATTATTTAGATATGAGTGGGGAAAAGGAGTTAAAGTCATTGGGTAACTTAGAGAGATCTAGTCTAACCTAAGTCCCTTTAAGTTCTATATTTTATACTAATTTACTATAATATCTTTACATCACAAATATAGAAAGACGGCTAGTAAGTGAATTGAATGAAATATTTAGGTGTCACATTTTCCCATTACTATGAAAGCAATTTTGATATAAAGTGTTTAGCCGCATATACTGCAGGTAATATATTGGCTTCAATAGAACATATGGAGAATGTTCTATTGAAGCCAATATATTACCTGCAGTGTAATTTAAAATAATTTAATAGCTGCGAGTAAATGAAAGCAAGGAATATCATTGCATTTTGTATTTTCTCACATTTATATTTTTTATCAACTAGTATTTGGATGTGGAAATTAATTCTACTAATGAACCTTATTTACTGCAGTTGATGAAGTTAATACCCACATCTTCGGTCCTACTGGAAAGATCTTAAGAAATTTTCGTCTTTCTCATTACCTGCCTTGGTGGGGTAAGTGATAACACGTTCGGTTGGCATTCTTGAACTCCGGAATTCACATCCTATGAAAGATACAGCGGATGTTTGGTTTCCTTTTTCTTAATCGTTCTACATATTTTTTTAAACTCTAATCCTAAACTTTCTGCATTTTTATTACAAATATTATCGTCAACCGTAGAAACAATTTTTAAATATTTTATCTCGACAAACGATTTAAAATTTGGATGATACTACAGTGGCAGTTGAATTATGTAAGATTAAATTGCAACCACAGACACCTAAGGTAGATTACTGAATCAAATAAAATAAATCAGAAGTGTCAAGGTGAAGTTGATAAAACAGCCATATGAAAATTATTTTCTAATGCTGTTGACTCAGAGAATATTCACTACGAAGACATGCATGAAAAGAAGAATACATGAATAGGTAGCTTCACATTTCCTAGCGTTTTTTAGATTAGTTTTTGATGCTCGCCGATTTCCAAGCAATGGGATCCAGTTCCAATATGAGTGAATTCATACATGTTTAATAACAGAGTATATGAAAATGATAATGGAAGTGATACGATACGTATATGTTATGGTATGTATTAAGTATATGCATATGTCTGGCGAATTGTATTGTACGATGTATTTTATTGTAATCTGTATGAAAAAGATGTTCTATAATAATAGTCAATGCAGAATTTTATTCAAAGTGACCATTACTAGTTTGCATTCGTATAAATTTATTGTATTAAATTTCATATTTAATAATTGTTACTCTTAAATGCACTGTCTAAACAAGAAATACTCATCGAACAGAATGAATTTATCTTATCCACAACGAATATATTCAATTTATTCACATTATAACGTTGCGCGCCTACAACTTGCACGCAACCAAGGGTGACTGTGAAAGCTTGTATAAACCACAGAGTCTTGTAAAGGGTTTAAGTCCCTTTTTATTCAACGTAATGAATTACAATTGCGTTCTCTTGACGCTTACAAACGGTGCCAACTCGGCAGTCAAATAAAAAAATAACCTGAAAAAGAAAGTAAAGACAAGATTCTACTACGAGGCTCTCTAAAATAACTAACTCACCGCGTTTTACAATACGGCTGCTAATTCAGCAGACTTGAAGCTCACTGGAACAATTTCCACTAATTCCCGCCAGCACATAGGCCGCAACGCGGGTTCTTCAATTCTCGATAAACTACCTCCGCGCTCGCTAAGTAAGAATAACTCTCTCACCGAAACTTGTTTCCTTCTATTTAAATCATACTACTTCCGCTGATAATTTGAATGCTGCGCGTTCTACTCAAATTTACATATTCTGGCATTGGCAGTTCCAGGGGAAAGTAAGGATTGACAGGAAAGATAGTTTAAACTTAAAATAAATGTTAGTTAAAATAAATATAAACTCTACAACATCTAACTTTTAGTGTTAATAATGAATATAATCAGATCATACACAATTTGTATTCTGAATGTTACACTTTAAAAGTCAAAAGAATGCAACCGCTGAAATAAGAAAACACCATATTCATTGTAACACTTCCAGTCCTTCTCAGCTCAATTAATACTCAGCTCAATAATAAATATATACATTTGAATTCTCTTAATTCACAGGTGTTAGTAAATCTGTAATACTCGAGACTAATTGTGGCTTGAGTCATTTTATCGATGTAAAGAGCCGTGAAATTCAATCCAAATATTAATGCGTGATAAAAATTGCTAAAGTGAAATGTCAGCGATTAATTAAACTCAGAAAATGAAAACACTATGAGATTTTCTACTATTACGCCACACATTTATAACTGCGAAACAAATGCAAATTAAAATATAAGCAACATATACGCTCACATGCACGAAGATTTAGTGTCACAAATTAGCTCAATAAGAATCTCATTGGTCCATTTTCGAAACCCTTCCTCAGTGTCTACGCTGATGTGCACTTGTGAAATATGCGTACCGGACGATACCCGATTTGTCAGAAAACGCCGGCCGGGTGTCTGGCTCTGCATGCACTTGTTCATCTGTCTACATGGGCATACGGATACCTCATATCAATACGGACAGACTCAGTACGAATCATCTAATTAATTTGTTTATGACAGGACATGGCCCCTTCCCCAAGTATTTTTACGAAAGAAACATAGCTCCTTCTGAGCAATGTATATGTGGGGAAAGGGGCGACCCCAACCATTGCATCTTCAAATGTCTATTAACAAAAAATTACCACTTGATACTTCCTGAGACTAACATATATCTGTGCTTGCAAATAGCTTTAAAAATAAAACAACTAAGAAGAAAAATAGAACTGTCAGTTATGTTCCTCGCTAGTAGAGGCCTGACACAGTATGTACTCTTAGATATACAGGCAAAAAAGTGCTATTTGCATTTATCTATGTAATAATGCTATGTATATGTTCCTAAATGTATTGTTATATGTATGTCATTATGTCCCAATATGTTATATATTTACCTTTATGTTCTGTACTTAATATTATGTTCTATATTTTCCGTTATGTATTCGAGTATGAAAGGCACCATATGTTACAACTATATTGTAATCATATGAAAAAAATGTAAATATGTCAAAATTCTTTCAAAAAAAATTATAATGTCCAAATAAAAAGATAGTGCAGTTGGACAATACCCACATTACCTATGGTTAAACATTGGGTTTCCGCTGCACTACAACCTGAACCTGTCTACATGGGCGCTTTTATAGTTTTTCTGATGTTTAGTGTCAACAATTTCTGGTGCTTAATTGAACCAATCTCGTTTAGAAAGTGACAGGCGAAGGTATCCCTGTGGTGTTTATACTTAAGTTTCGCCAGTGAAATTTTATTTTAAATTACTTCTTTCCTTTCTGCTTCTTTTCTCCAAGAAGTTCCCTAATTTCAGAATTTAAGTAGATTTGGGTTACAAACAGTTTCACTATAATATATAGAGATTTACGAATAAGTTTGTTTTGTGAAAGTTAAGTGAATAAGTGAAAGTTTGGCTTGTGTTCCGCTGCTCTGCAGATTGAACAAAACAGTCTATTGGCGACTTTAATGTTGGTCTTTCTGGAAATACTTACATTGAGATTAGATCCTGTTTTGGTAAGTGTGTGTTTGAAATTCTGTAGCGGTCTTGTAGTTCCTAGATAAACTTGGTTTAAACTTTTGCATTTATATCCTTTGCGAAACCAAGCTTGAATCTTAAACCAAGTCGGTTGGTAAGTTCCGTTTTATATATATTATAAGTATTCACAAGTTTTGAGGCTGAATGAACTTAAAGTATTTTAATTCTGTGTATGTTTGTTTGCAGCTTAGAGATTTTAGTGGTGAGCATACACTGCACAGATTATATGTAACATCTTATTGATGCTGTATTGATAAAGCAAAGTTATTTAGAGATCGCAACAGGTGTTACATCCATTCGACTGCACAGTATGGGATCACGTGATGGTGATAACCAAAATTTCTTCTAAATATTAATCTTTGCCCTTGACTTACGAGTCATCCACTGTTTACCATAAAACTTTGCAATATTGAAAATTAACACGTGAGAAATTTTGTGTCCGTAATGTTATATCATGTAATACAGCATCTTTACGTATATTATGAAGATTATTCCAGGAAACGGATAAGAGTAATAAATACTGGTAGTCTGGCCTGGTTTCAAATCCCAGAGAGAGATGTTTCTATAGGTAGTTCTGTGGATTTCCCTAAATTTAACGTGGATATAAATCTGTTTGGAGAAAATCCTCCAGGAAAGCATCCCTTTTCTAGAACAAAGACCCGTATTGTGCATTGATATAATCTTTTGCTGTTATTGTCATTGTTACCAATCTCATAGGTCTGACAAAGGTCAGCACGAGCCCGCGAATTTCATCGTGACAAGGAGTCAAATGCTCCTGTCAATGGCAAAAACCTTGAGCTCCATATAGGTGACAGCCCGACTTTAGCTCAGTTCCGTCCCCCCCGTTTTGAAAGGAGCACTCCTGGGGAGGGGGACGAATCCGAGAGTCTCCCACCACTCTTCCTCTACCATAAACCTCTCGAGAGGACGTTTGGCTCGCTGCATATTCATAAGTGCGCCATACCTCACTGACAGTATACATTTATAAATTTCCAGGCTTTCTGCGCA